GATTTAGGGAATTTATGGGACCTTAAGATTATCTAGAGGTCAAGTGCTGGAAGTTTTATCCTACATTCTTAAAGAATGGGTCAAGACCCCAAATGGGATCATTCTGTATATTGGAGGTTGCCTTCCTTTCTTTCCTGCATATGTGCCCTCTCTGCTTTCCTTCTGTCACGCATGTCTTTGTTACTTTTCTCTCTTTATTTCAATCTCTCTCATGTGCACGTGCATGTGTGTTTCTCTCCACTTTCACCCTTCCTCCGTTCTTTATATAGACAGTCTTCAAGATACAAACAGGATAGGTTCTGTAGGTTTGTTCTAAAGTTGTATTTGTATTTAAGTCAGAACAGGTACATTTTTACTGTAACTTCAGCCAAAAATATACCCTTTTAAGCTTTGGAAAGCATAGGGAAGAGTTAACACTGCAGCGGTGTTTGTTTTGCTGTCTGTGCCCTTGTTCAGAAGATTTTATCTCACTTTCTGCCCCTGTGACAATTGGATATTGAAAAATTTGCCTTGTTGTGGAAACAAGGATTGGTAAGAGAGCTTCAGTTCAGACATTTCCCCATGAAAACTCTCTCAGGAGTGAATTTCCCTTCCAGGGGGTAGATTTTGCTCACTTCTTCTTGTCTCAGTTCCATTCTTAGCTATGAGTAATTTGTGAGTCTGATGTTTGTAACTCGGAGAAGGCTTGTACTTGGGGTCATGTAAACATTTCTTGAGTTAAAAGGGGTCATGAGTCAAAAAAGCTTAAGAAGCTCTGGCATAGACAAGGATAAAGCTTTCCCCATGGCATTAAGTCCGACTATGGGGGGTGGTGCTCATCTCCATTTCTAAGCTCCAGAGCCAGCGTTGTCTGTAGACATCTCCAAGGTCATGGGGCCAGCATGAATGCATGGACCAACGTTACCTTCCTGCCAGAGTGGTACCTGTTGATTTACTCACATTTGCATGTTTTCAAACTGATAGGTTGGCAGAAGCTGGGGCTGACAGTGGGAGCTCACCCAGTTCCCTGGATTCAAACCACCAACCTTTCGGTCAGCAGATTCAGCAGCTCTGTAGTTTAACCCACTGTGCTAGTGGAAGAATAATAGACCAAAATATTTGAAGACATGGTCCGAAACAATAATATTGCTAAAGCTAAACCAGTTCTCAGATTATCAGGGTTTGCTAAAAATGTTGAAATCTGCCATGATCATGTAGAGTCATGTGATCCCAAAGAATGGCAATTATGGCCTAGGCTCTAAGCAACCATTTGGAAACTCTGTAAGGCACCACTGAACATGCAATCAAATATGAGAAAATGCCAAGATTGCTGACAAATGTTCCAAATTAGAAGCTTAAAAGATACCAATAACTTGCCTTATTAGGACTCAGTAAATAGCAATTATATAAACAAAGAAACACAAAGGAAAGGAAAAGAACAAAATTATTATGGAAGAAAGGCAAAGGTTGTAAAGAAGGCACCATGATTTAGATATTGACTATGATTTATGAAGCAACACCATGGCTTGTCATGAAGTATGAAAAACACAACTGGGCAAACTATGATTTGTGAGTGGCCAAGAAATCAAGTTTTGAAACCAAACCACAATTCATGCATCACAAGTCATCCATTGGCTTAATGCAGTGGTTCTCAACCTGTGAGTCCCAGGTGTTTTGGCCTACAACTCCCAGAAATCCCAGCCAGTTTACCAGCTGTTAGGATTTCTGGGAGTTGAAGGCGAAAACATCTGGGGACCCACAGGTTGGCAACTACTGGTTTAATGGAATAATGATGGATATGACTAGACTATGCTCAGCCGAAGCACTTGTTTTCCTCTTCCTTCCTTGCAGGTACACAAACCAGGAAAATGCAATTTAGCTGAGATTCCCATTTTGCCTAAATGAGGAAATATAGCAAATCTGGCAGAATAAATTAGAATTAGATACCAGATTTAAGCCAGAGTTTAAATGTTTCTTTTGAATTCTCAAGTCTTTGGAAGCACTTGATCCTAGTCTCTTGTTTGGATTTTACTGGAAGCAATGCTTATTCATAACATTATTTTCAATGTTGAAATACAGTCTGAACTCTCCAAAAGCATGAATTGGTGCTGTATGTTTTGATCTGCAGTTCATTTGCCGAGGCTTTTTAAGTCAGTGAACATTACTTTTTAAATAGACTGTCAACTATCCTGTCATATAATTACAATCTTGGCGCACATGTAGAAAAAAATCACGTTTCAGTGTGTTTTAATCCAACTGCTAGGTGAAGACATGCAAAGGTTAGCCATAGGCTAACCCTTTAAACAAGAACACAAAAAGTCACTATAGCAACAGCAGGAATTGTAGGAAGAAGTCCATAGTGATCTTCCCTTGCCTTGACTATTTGCATCACCTCCACACCAGTTCTTTGGACCTTCTGCTGCTGGTTATTAATTGTAAGATAAACATGTTAATATTATCAACTGCATATTCTCTTAATCAAGAATCAAGTGAGCTTCAATGGAAGACGAGAAAGCCAAGAAGTTGCACAAAATAGGTCTTCTAACATACACACATAGAAATGGAGCAAAATCCAGTTGGCTTGCAATGGATAGAACATTATTTGTCTGGAAGGTAATGTACTAGAATGGAGATAGTGACAATGGAAAAACATCACTAGTTCCTGCAACTTAAGCTCATGTTTGTTTGTTTGTTTTTTTTGGGGGGGGGGGATTTGATTTGTTTTTTTAGTTGGAAGAGGAGTTTGAGGTTTACCTGTCCTGAAGTTTAAGGGCCCTTTCTCACAAATCAGAGTGTTACAATGCTACTAGAATTACCATGACTGCATCTTATGGAAGGTAATACTGAGGAGAGAGACACCAGAGCTGTCTAGCGGAGAAGTCTAAATTATTGTTGGGTGCTTTCAAGCTAATTTCAGATTATAGCAACCATATTTGGGAGGGGGATATCTCAAAGGGATTTTCCAATGATTTTCTCTGAAGCAGATACCATGACTTGCCGAAGTTCACTAAGTGGATTTACATGTTCAATTGGAGATTCAAACTTTTGTCTCAAAATTCCAAATACTAATTCCTATATTGGAATTCCATAAGCTGTTGGAAATAAGTGCATCATAACCTTATTGAATAGGTTAAAATGATGTCACATCCGTTTGGCAAATGTACATCTCCATGAACATGTGGAGACCACCTTTTGAAAACCACTAGTCAAGAAAAGCATGATCTTGTTAGATGTCAGCTCTTTGAACAAGTGATATTCACAAGCATTCATGTAATGACACACAGTTAACTCAGTTGTTAAACTGAAGAACCATGCCTTTAAACTGCCAAGGATAAAGACACGCCACTACAAAAATATATTTGTTTAGCAGAGGATGGTTGTTTCTTTGAAATAGAATTTGCAGTTGCCCATCTACTCTCCCTTAAAACCTCTTAGTTAAAATATGCACCCAAGAGATAAAACAAAGTCTTCTTTGAAAAATAACATCTCAGGTTAACTAACAAACTTCTTGTATATATTCAGCATACTTGTCCACAGTCCAATGTCTTTAAGCCAATATAACAAGGAGTATTTGGAATTTGGAGACAAAAGTTTGAATTGCCAATTGAAAATGGAAATTAGTGAACTTGGGCAAGTCATGGTATCTCAGCCTCAGAGATATAGTCCAAACTGTATAACTGAACTCACTGAAGTCTAAAAAGAGACAAACTACAGCCACCTCCATTGAGGTCTAAAGGAATACTGCACTAAAGTCCAAACAGCAACATGCATCCACTTCCACTGAGGTCAGATGCAAACTGAATATAAAACGGAGTCCCACACCAAAGAGGTACAGTCAAACTGGCAAACCAAAATGTACATACAATATAGGTCAACAATCATACACATTTACAAACAGTTAGTGGAGGCTTGGAAGGTTGCTGTTTCCAACATCCTAAAGTTCAAACTCAAAGACTCCATAGGATGTTGGAATTGCAACTGAAGTAGAATCACAGTGAAAGGGACCTGATCCCTGCCATTTTGAAAATTGCTTGGTCTTGTATTGGACAGTGAATTAGCTGCACTGTGGATGCGCACATAACTTACCAATAGCTCCCAGCAATGGATGGAAGTCATGGCAACCTTCCATGAAGGAGTTAGATCTTTCCATTACCTGTTTTGATATTCCTCATGGAAAGGAAAACTGAGAATGAGGAGTAAAAGCAGCAGCATTGTTTTCCCTGTTATTATAACAATGATGTCTGTGGCCATAAGAGAGTTACTAACTCAACCTAATGGATGGGCGAAATAATGACAGAATTTGGCTTCAAGTCCTATTGTCAAGAGTGAGAAATGTGAAGAGTTGTGGCCCAACGACATCTGGAAGACCACCTGATTCTCAGCTCTGTACCAAAGGATAAACAGTCTGTTACTCTGTGGATCAGGCCTGCACAACCCGTGGCCTTTCAGGTGTTTGGGCCTCCAAATCCCAGACGTCCAATGGTCAGGAATTGTTGCTGAAGTCCAAAATATTTGGAGGACTGCAGGTTGTTCAGGCCTGCTGTGGATTATTTCAATTTCAGTTCATGTAATCCCATCCATTTGCCCAATGGCTTGAAATTATTCCAAAAAGTCAGGTGTTTCTTATATCAAGGCGGGAGCAATCATGTTTTCTCACTGACCCAACATTATGGGGTCCATCTTGTAAAAAATATGCACCTTTTTAGCAACAGAAATGTTAAATTTTACATGTAGTCCGAGTTCCCACAATATCCTGGGGGGGGGGGGGGGAATCCCACCTGAGTGCAAAATACCTTTGTTGGGGCATGCTGTGGGGAGAAGCAAAGCTAGGATTGCAAGAGAGACCAGTTGTTGGTCCTTTGCAGCCTTCCTGTCTTAACTTGTAGGTTTACTTGGAAGAGAAACAAAAGAATGAACATTTGGGAAAGGCACCAGTAACTCTTTTTACTCAATTCCTATAAAATCAAGTGTTGACATTTTTTTTAAGTATGGCCATGCTATGCAATAACAGTAGACAGCAATTTTGTGCATTGTTTTATTTCCAGTTTTAAAATAAATGCTAGTATTTTTAGAAAAATGCCTTAAAATAGGAAAAATTCCTATCCTTTACATTAAACTGTTAGACTGTAATCCTATATCTACATACCAAAGAGAAAGTCTTACTGGTTATTTTTGAGTTTACATGCATAGAATAACACTGCATTCCCGTATGACCTGCCAAAATGTTTGACATGTTTTCCTCCATCAACCTTTCTTTCATTTGTTCTCTTCCTTATGCCCTTCTTGCCTTGTATTCCTTTACAGCTATGTCTAGTTATTTAAGGGAGAGACAGTTTTCAAGAGATGATTTTCACTGCAGAAGCTCCAAATGAAACAGCACTGAAATGGAAGGGTAATTTATAAACCCATTTACGTCGCCATATATTTTATGCATCAGGGTGAAATCCAGAGGGAAGACCAAATGTCCTCCAGAAGGTTTGGGGCTGGGGGAGACCAAGAGAACACTACGAACTCTTTCTTTTGGGGCTTAAAATGGCAGGAAGAAAATGCCAAAATAATGAACCTTGTGTGCATAGTGCAAGACTCCTAAGACCAATTTCACACCTGTTCTCCACCCAACTACAACACAGTTCACAGTGTTCTGCAGGCTCTGGAGAGACTCTTTCGAAAAGGTACTGGTAGTTGCAGAGGACAGGAAAAGGGCCACCGTACAAGCTGCCTGCTGCTCGCACAATGCAGGATCTCACCCTCAGTGTCCAACTAATTCACACAGCACAACAATGAATGTTGATAGTCATACAATCATCTCATTTAAGGGGATTAAAAACCTGACTATACCTGCTGCTCAACAGAAAACAGGGGGAAATGTCATTTTCAAAGTAGTTCTTTAATTTTAAAATATTTACATTAGAGGCAGAATGCTGATATTCCATTTATGACACTTACTTGAGAAATAAGAATATTTCCAATTATCAGCCAATACCAAGATAATGAAGCTCGCGAAAATGCGAAGAGATTTATAACAGTATGTGGTATTTAAGAGCTCTGGGAACTCTGTTAATAACAAGCCGTCCATCATAACTTAACGAGGCAAATAGCCATGGGTCGGCTGAGGACCATTCCACGGCATAGACGCTGTCTTCATGTTCTTCGTAGGTAGCTATTATGCTGTCCTGAAGTGGCTCTTTAATCCTAGAATTTAAAAGGGGAAAAAGGCAAGGAAGCAAGTGATTGAAGCAACTCTGATTTATAAAGCATCGAAAATGTCAAGTTCCTCCTCAAATCTGCTGGTTTAGCGCATGAGAGACAATCTCGATATATGAAATAACATTGTGTGCACAACACTTTAATTTATAGGGGTTTTTTTTTCCTTTTTTTTTGTAAAGATGTCGCATCGATCCTTAAAGTTCTGTGCATGGAAGCTCAGAAGGATTCTGGAATGCGCCATTATGGTTTATTTTTTCATTTATTTATTTAGGAACATAGACATCCCAAACAATAGGATAATTTATATGGACCTAACTTCACAGCAAAAGCAAACATCAAAGAAGTGCAATTAGCATCTCTTAAAACAATGCTATGATGAACGTTTGTACTGTAGCTACGCACTAATTAACATATTGATTAAAGCAGGTGATAATAACCAGAAGGTTTGGGTTTTTTTAAAAAAAAACGTGGAATTGTTTATTTGTTCAAGGTAAATTGTGGATTGAAGAATCAAAATCCTTATGATGAACTTTTGGTGGGATTTTAGAAGTAGGGATGGCTCTGGAGAAAGGGAGCACAGGGATGAAAGAAAATAAATTAGGGGGGATGTATATTCATAAGAATTGTGAACTTGTATTCATATATGCATATATAGTTGTTAACCTTTTTACAATAATAACTTTATTCTCATACACCACCACCATCTCCCCGAAAGGACTCGGGGTAGTTTACATATGGGACAAAATGCTCACAAGACGTAATACGAACAATCCATTAAAGCAAAAACACAATTAAATTAAAAGCATAGTAAAATATAACAATCCAGACAAAAACACAATTAAATAAAACATATGAATATAAACCAGCAGGGTTGAAATGCAATCAAAACAATTTTTCTTTTTAGAAAGAAAGAAAAGAAATCAAAATACATATTCACAGATTCTGCATCCACAAATTTGACCAACTATGGTCCAAAAATATTAAAGTAAAATTTCCAAAAGCACACTTTGATTTTGCCATTTTATATAAGGGACATCATTTTACAATATGGCTGGCCAAAAGGAAAAAAAAAAGTAAGTACCATATTAAGGGACCTCCCCTTAGCACAACATTAGTTTCTGATGTTCTACTTATTGTGTTGGCTTTGGCTTTTGGTTTTAAAGCCAACCTCAAAGACTGTGGCATAGATACCAAAAAATGGGAAGCCTTGGCCCTTGAGAGCTCTAACTGGAGGTCAGCCGTGGCCAGCAGTGCTGCAGAATTTGAAGAGGCATGAATGGAGGGTGAAAAGGAGAAACATGCCAAGAAAAAGGCACGTAAAGCCAACCTGGACAGGAACCACCTTCCATCTGGAAACTGATGTCCTCACTGCGGGAGAACATGTGGATCAAGAATAGGGCTCCACACCTACCTACAGACCCATTGCCAAGACATTACATCTGGAAGACCATCATCCTTGATCTACGAGGGATCGCCTAAGTAAGTAAGTAAGTAAGTAAAGTAACTTACTGTGTAAACATTTACCATAAAATTCAGAAAAAATGAAGTTGTAGCTACCAGAAGAAGATGTTAAAGAAACAAGTCAAATGGGATGTGTATTTCCATCACAGATCCAGCCATACGTGATGGTCAGATTAGAACTAGGGAGTGGGTAAACTGGTCTGTTTCCCTACTCAGCTAGGAAGCTCTCTGGTAGCAATCCTAAGCCAGTGTCTCCACTGGGCCTGTAGGATTGTGATAGCAGTAAACAAAGGAAAAATATACATTTCCAATAGCTGTTTAGAAGAAAAGGAGTAAAAGTAATTCTTGTATTTGCAGACACTGGAGCACAAAGGGATGAGACCCAGCAAGAATCCAAATTCAAAGCTCTGCAAAAGAGTTTATGAGCAAGTTGCGATATCAAGAAGACTGCTGACAGACCGGGTGAGATGGAAATAGGAAGCAATTGGCACTAATCCCTCCATTCCACAACCTCCAGCCATGTTGTATCTGCTAGCGCAATGTGTGTGCATATGTGTCTTCAAGTCACTCCATGGATCACTGTCACTTACAATTTGTACCACTGCAGATGCATAAGACTTTAAGAGAGCAAAGTGGGACTTTGACTATAGTTGTGTGAGGATGAAGTGGGCTGGGGAGAGTGAGAAGAAATGTGCTGACAGACTCTATTTGGACTTTACATCTAGGAAAAATTGGCAAAGATTAGGATTAGGAGGGAAAGTATTTTTCAGCTTCTCATCATCAACTTTCTTATCCCATGTTGACTTGATCTTGCCTAGTCATTCAACAGCCAGCCTATTAATGTTCAATCTTACATTGCTGTTCATCAGCTGGGCATCTCACTATTTCCCTCTTCTCTGCTCTGTCCTTGCCAGCTTTTATCATCTGTACCGTAGCTATTATGACAGCACTTTCCAGCAAGCAAGATATAAGTAGGCAGATTCTTCAAGCACCCAATGCATGCTAGTTAATAATTCAATAAGCTCAGATCAGAGAGATGAAATGTAAAAATGGCAAGTTTTACCATGCTATGCAAAAAAGGAATAGCTGAATTTGGATGTAACACTAAATCATAGTTTAACATGAAGGGAACAGACCAGAGCAAGCTTTATATTCACACATTCTCACTTCCCTTTCCTTCCAATTATCTTCCAACAATGCAACCACAATGAGGAAATTAGAAACTTTCTGTCTTCCACAAACTCCGGTTAACTGATATGTTCAGACTGAGATATTTGTTTAATGTCAACTAAGTGGCCATCAACATCATTTATTTATTTATTTACAATATTTCTATGCCACCTTTCTCAAGCCCAAAGATGACTCAAAGCAGCTTAAAAATTGGCAGCAATTCGATGCCATAACAATCCACAATATACAATTAAAACATTTTAAACAACATTAGAAAATCAATATAAAATCAATACAATACAAAACCATTAAAACATATAAAACATATAGCATATATGTTATATCGGCATAATGAGGCAGTGTGGAAATGAATGTACTTTGTGACATCCACATGATGTACGAGGGTGATTTGGCGTAATGCCTGGAAAGGCTACTTAACATGGCCTCATCCCATGATAACCAAAGTTTGGGGGGGGGGGGGCTCAGAGCTTTCTCAAAGCTCCAGAGCATCAACAAATATTGGGTGTGTGGAAACAGTTGGGCCAGTTCTGGGTTGTTTACATCCATTCTGCTTTCCCCGAACTCAGAAAGGAGATGGGGATTCCTCCTTTTGCCCTTCCCGCGTCGTTCTGGCTAGCGTCAGTATATGCTGCCAGAAGTTTCTGTCCAGTGGTCACAATTATGACAAGGACACAACAGGATAGTAAGGATGGTTATCCTGCAGCACCAAACCATTCAAACCTGTTCAGATGCTGGCTGTGTGGATTCCCCTAGGGCTAATCTAGAGAACTCCACTCTGAATCAACTCCACTGTATTTGGCTATGTAGATGAGTCCTAATTTAGGCAGAAGGCAATAATGGAAACCATAGTTAAGGGTGGCATGTTTCACTGCGCCAGGGTTGGGCACTTTGCGACCATTTATGTTTTTGGACTGCAGGTCCTATCAGCCCAAGACAACTTATCCCATTGTTATAAAATGGATGGGATCAATATGGGACAGACCACATTGCACATCCCTATCATAAAATGAAGCTAGCCTATTCTCAACATGTTCAGCTTTAGGCATAATAAGCAACTGTGACTGAAAACAAGAACTAATAGTATTGTCAAAGGCTTTCATGACTGGAATCACTGGGTTGTTGTAGGTTTTTCAGGCTGCATGACCATGTTCTGGAAGCATTCTCTCCTGACATTTCACCTGCATCTATGGCAGGCATCCTCACAGGTTGTGAGCACACAACCTCTGAGGATGCCTGGCATAGATGCAGGCGAAACATCAGGAGAGAATGCTTCTGGAACATGGCCATACATCCCAAAAAACCTACAACAACCCAAGAACCAGTAGTTCTCTTTGCACTTGTGCTGGAATAAGACAAAGGAGTATTTAAGTCTGTATTATTATGCTATTGTCTTAGTATTAGATATGAACAATGTTAATGGGAAATTGTAAGTTTCAAAAATGGGTCCATTCTTCTTGTTAGCTCAATGTGCTTTAATTATCTTTCAAAAATTATACCAGTGAAATCCTTTTGAAAAAGACCATGTCCCTAACTTGAATTCCTATTTGCATTGTTGGAGAAAGGTTTTTGTGTTGGCTGTTTAGCCTGCCAGAAGAGCAGGTGACAAATGCAAGGTTAAAAATGAAAACCATTTTCCTGTTGTTGAATACTAAAGCGGCGACAATAATCCCTCACTGCGGTTTCTGGTGTTCAGATCCAAGAAACCAGAAGCTAACGTCTACATAGTAGCTATGCAACAAAGTGGATTTAAGTGGATGTGGGAGAAAGCAGTTATGATTATTTGAACTATTTTTTTCCCTGGGAATGACATCCATAGCCTCCCACACACTCTTCACAGCTCTCTCCTTAAATTGACACCTGGGTTACATGAAAGTTGGTCATGTCCCCAGACAGCAGTGTGCCTCATACAATGCTCACCCACTTATCTGAGACTCCATTATCCTGAAGATTTCGGATGTCTCTGAATAAGCAAGAGAGCAATGTATGGCACACACCAGGGGACATGGCCGACTTTCCGTTAACCGGAAGGTGAGATAAACAAGCATGAACATGCTTGCTGCTGGCTTCCACTGCTTCTTCATGGCAGATGTTGTATACAACAGGATACATGAATGCTTTGTGTGATCATTAAAAACTTAAGCCATGGGGGAAGGTGTATGCTAAAGAATGATCCATTACATTAGCAGAGAAACCATTATAGCACATTTCGACTCCCCTCTTCTATTTTTAGTCCTCTTCAGTTGTTCTGTCTTTTGCTCAATCTCCTTTGGGATTAAAGCACGCTGGGAGTGTGCAGAATGGATCTATCCCGTTCTTAAAGTGAAGACTACACA